CACCAACAACAAAAGCAAATAAACAAACAAATAAAAACAAAAATCCCCAAGTCAACCAACAAAAAAAAAAGAAAGACAAACACCAGCAATTAAACAACTCCACATGGGTGGAGTTTTCAAGAGTACCAAGAGGGCTTAGGAGTGCAAGTCAGTCAGATGTGTGCTTCTAAGTCCCTCCACTGCTTTGGAAGACTTCCAGCCCTAAGAGTAAAATAAAAGGCAGGGGATATATATGGCTGCTAGGCTAATGAAGCTTAATTTTATCCAGCTCCTATTTATTCTTTGGTTTCGCTTCAGAGCACTGATTTCACATTCCTGCACCTTTTAGATATGCATATATATTTCATAAATAGGCAAATGTATATACACAGTCCTGAGTATGGGAGTATGTTTATACATGTAAAGCAACTGGGTATTTACAAGCTGTTTCTAAGGTTATAATATCCATTGCTATTATGAACTGCTTCATTAACCTGTCAATCACATTGCTTTCTCCCTTTCACCCCTCTCCCATGTTACTCCGTGTGTTGGAAGTGAAGCATGTGTGTTTGTGTCAAGTGTATTATTTCAGACAGTACAGACACACAGACACACAGACACACATGGACGCACGCCCAGAAATTAATAGGGTTTCATTGGTGCCTCCCCAGGAGCTTGGCTCTGGCCTACCCTCTGGACTTTGCTAGCCATGGAGATGCCTCTCACAGTCATTTATCACCCAGCCCCTGGCCAGCGGCACCGGGGCCCGGCATTGTGTCCCCAGGCTGCCGTGCAGGAGGAGGGGCATGTTTGCAGTGTTGGTTGCAGTTTGGAAGCACTGCTGATGGACTACTCTCCAATAAACCCCCCAAAAGTGCTGATATGCTGAAAGCAGCTGACACTGATGGATCTGCTCTCATCTTGCCTTTCAGTCGGCTGCAAGAGAGAAGAGAGAGAGGAAGAGAAACAAAGGCAGAGATTAACTCTTTTGTCACAGAGCTCTGCAGTTTTACAAGGCAAGATAAAGCTGCTGTCCAGGTTGGGTGCAGATGGGACCAGCTCAGCACAGTCTGTCTGATTCTCTATGGAGTAAAATCCGGGGGAAAAAACAGCCTGAACTGCACAATGATTTACTGACAGGGCCTGTGCTGCCTAACTGAGCCTTTTAACTTTCCTTGCAGTTACAGCCATAGCCAGGGAGACCAGCAGAGATGCCTGGACACAGTCCTGGGCAACCGGCTCTGGGTAGCCTTGCCTGAGCACAGGGCCTGGCTGGACAAGATGATCTCCAGAGGTTCCTTCCCACCTCAACCATTCTGTGATTCTCCCAGACCTGTGGGCCAGCCATTAAACCAACAACACTGCTTGCACTCACACTGCTTTGGGTGCCACACAGCATAGTCAAACCCACACGGCACAGACCCTTGAGGTGTGACCCAAGCTACTCAACCAGCAAGGCACACTCCTGTGGATGCAGGCTCAATAAACACAGGCATCCAGCTGGATTCATACATTTCTGTGTATGAAATCATAGAGTGGATTTTGTTTGTCTGATGCAAACTGCTGCTTGTGATACCCCTCCCTAAAGCCAGTCAGAATGTTTTAATATAATTTCATTTAATCAAATGAAGTTTTGCCAAAATTGAGCTATTTGGGAAACTGGGTCCATTTGGCTCAAGTTTTTCTAGAGAACACCTTGGTTCCAAGGGGCTCAGATATGAACCCCCAGTCTGCATTTTTATGTCATTCAGCTGCACAAGAAGCATTTGGAAAGTTTCCCTCTTCTCTCGCTGGATTAGAAACTTCAGCAGCTGCCAAGGAGCAGGACTGTCAACTACCAGACCTCCTTTTTGAAGGACTAGCAAGATATCCATATGGATGTGTCTTTTCCCCACACAGTCACGTACAGAATTCAATGCAAATATGGCTGAAGATTCACACATCTCTTTCAATGCCTTTGCCCAGTCATATTTAACACTGACAATGTCACAGGTACAGCAGGATCACAAATTCTCACATGCCCAACTGCAGGACCAAATGCCCCAGAAAAGCAGACTGCACTACATTAAGCCTAAACGCACAAGGAGATACCCATACTAATACTACTAACAAAGGGTAAAAATAAAAATATTAGCGCTAATTTTTATTAATAAAAATGCCAAGCAACATTCTTCCTCCTATGGCAAATCTTGTTTCATTTGTAACCCTGATTTTCCTTGATTTGAAGAGAGGAGGTGGGATACTTTTTCTAGGTAATTCTAAAGAAAAATTTCTAAATTCATATTGAAAAATCGATCATTTTCCAGATTCAACAGAAACTGCCAAGTAGCATCTTCCAAAAACAAAGTTCATATTTTTACTCAAGAAAAAGAGAGACATCTTGTCGTGGGAAAGTCATTTTCCCATTGGGAAACACTGCTGAGCTCTAACACTGCGCAGTTCTAATTCTTGTCTGGATTTTTCAAGCCTGGTTTATCCTGCACTTGAGTTGCACAGTTCACAAGTATTGCCAGCAACTTCAGACAAACCAATCACTGCCCGAAGTACAAATTAACATGAACAAAGGGAGAAGCCAGCCCCAGCTGAATGTTAGGGCTGTTCCACGGTTTCTCTCTAGACCGGGGTGTTCTAGTGCCGTGCCCTGTGCAGCTTTACAAACACACAGAAAGAACCTGTCAGATCTGCAATCCACCATCAGAGAGCATAACAGTAAAGACAAGTACATTACACTTGGACATGGACACCCTCTGAAACACAGACACATCCCCACAGCAAAACCTCCTGCTCTCACATACACTCTGCTGAACATGCAATCCTTTCTGAAATACAAAAAAGATCTCCAAGCCAACAAATGAAAAATGGGAGGCTGGGGTGAAGAGCCCTGAGATTTGTCTTTATTTTTGTTTTTAATTCCTAGAGAAAAAAGGGCCTTTTAAAATAAATAAGTAAAATAATAGTAAAAGCAATGTTTCCTGATGAAATATTGATGGGTTTTGCCACATCTTTTCAGGTTTTGTCTGTTGTCACCTATTTCCTTTTAATGAAAAATTCTAAAAGCTAAGTCAAATCCTAGAGTTTAAAAGGGGCTTGCAGACTACTACTCCTTTCCAGAGGATGATTTAAAATGAAACCTGAAGTAGAGGTCTGTTCTAAAGTCTAAAAACAACTTTGAAATTTCAAAGTTCCCCTCTAAACACAAATAACAATAATGTCACCATGTCAAATGCAGACAGTGTTGGAAACAAACCCACCAAGGAATTATCGATCATCTCTTCACATGTCCTTAATAAAATCTTGGTCTAAAATCTATCCACAATATGCCATCTGCCACACACTGAGATGAAATATGGTGTGTGCTCTTGGCATCTACACTCTGATGAACCATTTGTGAAATCTCTGCAGAATTTCACATTCTCAGTAGCACACTTTTCTAGAGGAGTGATTTTCAACTTTAATTTTATCTGTGGGTTCTTAAGAAATAGATCTGCCTCTGAAGGGCTTAAAAGACAATCTGTAGATTTGTACACAGCTGGTTTGAACTTGCCTTTTCCAGTAACTTTTACAGACTCACTTAGGAACAGCTTGAGTTCCCCAGGCAGTCCTGTGGACCCTGTAACCAGTATTTTGGTGCTGTAAGGAAGGGCTACATGGACTGTCTGAATGGAGGACACGGAGGTTTCCAGTGCCAGGGTTAGCCCTGCCTGTGAACACCTCTGAGCAAAACCCATCTTCCCTTCCATCTCAAAGTGCTGAGAGGTGCTTAAGCAGGACACTTGAGCAAGTGCCTGCTTTCAAGTACCTGGGCACTGCTGATGGAATTCCTCTTGTGCTGCAGGTCGGGCATGTGTGCAAGCTCTGCAGAAGTGAAGCCCTAAGCAGCCACTGCAAAGCTCCTGCAGCCAGCGAGCACTGTCCAGCCACCAGAGCTCTGTGTCCAGGGAGCACATCCAGGTAGGAGATGGCTCACCTTCCCAGTCCATGCACCCACCTCAGTTCCCTCCACTCCCAGCTAGACCACAAGGGCCCATTTATTCTAAAATATGAAATTTGTGTTGTTCCTTTATTGTTCTTTAATGAAACCCTGTTTATTCTAGGCTTTTAATTCTTTCCATCTATTATGTTTAGACAACTCATTAACAATCATTTGTTATCATTAGACTTCAATTTTAAACTCCTTTTCCCAGAGGAGGCAAGGCAGTGCTTTTAAACATATTTGCATCATAAACAATTTCTGGGCCTCGTGTGCCATCTATTACCCCAGCCTTTCCTCCCTTCTGACCCGGGCAGAAGGTGCTGAAGGAGCCTTATCAAGATTTTGGCCAGGTGCAGGGTAATGCATGTTTCCCCCACACCTGGAACCATTGAGGTTTCTGCATTAGGACAGCAACCCAGTGCATTAATAGGAAACTCTTGAAATCTTAGGTCATGTAATGGTGAGCTGCTCCTTCCGCTGGGATTAATGACTACATGCTGCAGCTGAATTCATTAGGGCCTGCTAAAGATAGCTTGCTAGCCTGGGATAATGCGTGGGCCTCATTCTGCTCATTTATGGTTGTTCAGCTCCACTGGATTTAGTGAAGTCATTCCTGATTTGCAGCAGGGTCCCTTGTGTGCATGCTAGATAAGCACTACGTCACACTTTGCATTCATTGACAGCTCCCAGTGGGCAAAAATCTGATCCCTGTTATGTCGGCTAAATCCAGATCAACATTCACTGAGGCTGCAAGGCATCCCTTGGATATGAAGTGGCATCAGTATGCATGGAGTGTGGCCCACATGATGAAATTTGCTTTGGTAGAAGGGAGGTTCCTTAAGTTGTACAGAAAGCAGGAAAATAGTTGCCTTTCTCCTCATGTTTTTTCTAAGTTTTGCTTGCTGCTGTATTCATCATATGCTGCTCATCACCAACTGTGATTAGTAAAATGCAGAAAAAAAAGAAATCACTAAGCTGGAATCTTTTAAAGTATTATTTTGATTTCCAACATCTCATTCCAAATTATACTTGGAAAATGTTGGCCGTGACAGCCATGTCTCCTCTTTCCCACATCCCAGTGAGCAAGCCAATGACACATCTGTTCAGAAGAAGTTTAGCTCTTATTAGTAGCATTGCTAGATCATCTCTGTCATTGCCAAGTCTTGTCCCGGTGCTAATGTATTGTCACTGTCTTAATACCCTGGAATTTGGCTATTAAAGCTCATCTGGTGGTGCTACCCCAGGTCCACTAACATGACAGGAATGCATGTTTTGGAGCTGTTGTGTTTCACTACAGCCCCTGCACCTTTGAATGGCAGTTCAAAAAAAATCCACTCTCCAAAGGCCTCAGTTCTGCCCAGCTCTAAGCTTATGTTCAGCTTTAAAGACTTGGAGAACATTCACAGGCCTTTCACTTGTCCAAAAGCCCCTTCACACCACCAAGTGCAAAGGAGGTATTGCATGCAGCCAAGTTCTGCTGGCTGAAGTACACACACGGGAGAACAGTAGGCTGGACCACCACACCTATTACAGCTTTTCATGTGGATGCTTACAGCTTATAAGAAGATGAAAATACTTCATACATAATATTGTGGTCTGCTCATGGAATTTTTACACCCCTGATGAACTCTACAGCTTGTGCTAGAGATAATGATGATCCTTGCTGCAAGGCTCCACCCTGCATGCTAAGTAAAGTCCTGCCATTTTCTATCCTTCCTGCTGTTATTCTGATCCAATTAAAGTCATTGCAACTAAGTGAAAAGTTGTGATTGACTAATTGGATTTGGGAAGGCAGAACACCCATCAGAAGCCAGGTTTAATTTAGGTTTCCTTAAAATTTCTAAGGCCACTGGCAGGCTAGAAGAGGCAGCTCCATCCTTGGTTGGCTCCAGCTCAGAAAAGAGGGATTAGTTAGTTGCCGAGTGAGCTCCCTGCTGCCTTGTGTCCATGGACAATTCCAAGGCCTGTGTTAGAGTCTTTCATTTTTTGGAATCCACCTTCTACAATGGTCCTTTACATATCTCTCCTATAAGTCTCTTATTCCCAGTTTGGTCCTGCACTATGCACCATCCCTTCTGCTTACTCCACAGATCAGCGCACTTCCCTCCCCAGAAACACGCTTTCCCATGTTCTTGAGGGGTACTTCTGTGCAAGTCGTGTACATGACTGGACTGCACTCCTGGATGTGGGATGTGACTGAAATTTCTCTGAAGTCAAGTGGAAGTTTTACCAGTATAGTTGAAGAGGTTCAACACGTGGAAAGCTCTAAGCACTTCTTCAAACACCGAGTGGTCAACTCCTTCCAAGTTCCCTGGATGTAGACCCCTGGGGTTCCAACCATGCAGTGAGATACATACAATAAAAGACTGGTTTCCACGAGCATTTAAAAGTGACCAGAAGCCTATCTGTGATATTTTCAACATAGTCATTAAAAAAGGGTATGCCATATCTGCTAAAACCAAAAGTTTCACTGAATTTCATTAAAATAATTAATCATATCATTGATTCTGAGTACCTTCTGAATTTTAAGCTTCTAATAAGTTCTCAAGCTATTTATTCTGATTTAATGTTCATCTTGGAACAGAAACATTGATAAGATAACAAACTGAATGGACCACTGATATTGTCATATCCTCACATGATTCTAAGAGCTGCAGAAACTTCATAAAACATGTAATAAAAATAAAGAGTCTAACGCTACCACCCAAATACACAATAAGCCAGTTGGATAAGGGCAGTAACAATCAAGAAATGTATCCTATCAAACATTAACCACAATAAACAATATTTGAGGTGAACTCAAAAATTTTCAGTTTTGGGACACTTTCAAAATATCTTTATATTTTTTGGTTTGGCCCTTTTATTTTCCTTTCTTTCTTTTCTTTTTTTTTTTAATATAATGTCTAACAATTTAGAAAATCTCATGTATTGCCAGTCTTGCACCCAAAACACAAGACTTACAAGATCACTGGGCATGTTAAGAAGCCTGTCTATTAATATTTGTAAACATTTTCAGCATCCAATACTTGGATGCCACTTGAGCCATCACCTGACATATTTCTGCTCCTATTGAAATAAAAGTGTTAAAGAGAAACAGTCAAAAAAACCCAAACCCCTTCACTTCTACCTGTTCCTTTTTCTTCCCTTTTTTTTTTTTTTTTTTTTTTTTGGAGAAATCATTATTTTTACTTTGGTTGACAATGGCAGTGAAAATATACTCCCTTTTCCATTATTTCTAACCCCCTCGAGGATTTTTTGGGGCCTCTTTCAAGGGTTCAACTGAACCCTTTTTTGCAAGCCTGGTCCTTCCCCCCAAGGATGTTGCTACCAACAAAATTTTAACATCATCACTGTTTTTACAAAAATGCCTAACACGTGATTCTTTCCTTACTGTCTTGTCAGTATAGGACCACAAGCCAGAAATTGCCAGGACACAAGTTCCCAGCTCCTCCAGATCTTGGCATTGACTGTCTTTCAGAATCTGGCCCCTGAGGCTTTGCAGTTGGCTCTTGAAAAGAAAAAGGGCCCCTCCTTAAAATCACAGTCCGTGCAAGTTTGTGTCTTCCATGAAAATTAACATGCTGGACAGCAGATGGGACAAACACATGCTAGAGGCCAGATCCTTATGCTGGTTACACCAGCATCATCAGCAAACTTGAGGGAACAAGGGCAAACAACAGAACTAGAGCAATTTACATGAGCAGTAGGTCTGCCTTCCTGCTGGCTAACAGTAACAGTCTGGATTCTCAGGCAGGGGCATGGAGAGAAAGAGAGTGAGAAATTACTACCTTTATACAAAATTGCAGCCCACTACAAAGTTGTCCTAAAAGGACCGGTGCTGTGACATTTCACATCTGATTCAGATGCTTTAAAAAAACAAAGTACAACACACTTTGCCAAGCAATAGGCTCCACAACTGCCTTTGGAGAGCCAAACAGCCTCCAGGAATACAAAGGTGACTTAATTTCCCCCTCTCTTCTCCCAGTGCCTCATTTACACCTCCTCAAAATACATACTTACGGCAAAAATAATGACAGTGCAGTCTGATGGAATATTCCAGCAGCATCCTGCAAAAGAGCAAAGCCCATGGTGTTCAGACAGTGCACAAAAGAATGATGTGTGACACTTTGCATAAAAGCACTTCTTCCTTAGAAAGTCTTGACCTCTTTGACTGGAAGACCCAGATCCTGAACCATTTTTTTTTTTCCCTGCCCAACTCTCCCCTTGATTCTTGGCCTCACTGATTTGAGGACACTCATTCTTTCTTACCATTTCTCTTTCATAACTTTTGTCTGGTAACCTTCTAGGCCAGAAGGACCATGCAACCTTTTGTTCTACCCAAGTCCTCCTTTTCTGATAAAGTTTTCACATATTCTTTGGGATACAAAGTCATCAGTTCCTTCCACTCAAGTTACATGTAAACAGTATTTATTCTTTTGTGCTTTTCAATGGGAATTGGCACTTAACTTCCTAAGGGTGCTGTGAAAATTCCAACTAGGCACAGCAGGGATTACCTGTCTAGATAGTCAGACCTGACAGACACTCGTGGATTTCTGAAAACAGTACATTCAGAACAAGCATCTCCGCTTTTGGATCCTCCAGCAAGTATAGAACAAAGATTTCTGTGCTCCCAGGTCAAATGTGTCTCCTTCATGGACAGGCTCTCTGGACACATCTGGCATGTTATCAGAATAATTTCCATTCAGTTTGATCTAATGTTCATCAAAGTCAATACTGACATTTCCTGGGTCATGCCAGAGGTCCAGTAATGCTCCATACCTTCCCATACATAATCTTTTAATTACCTCCCACTAATTACTTCTGCAGGGAGCTTTAAGATTTTCAGCCTGCAACACCTCTTCCTGATGGTCTCTGGATCAAGTCTTTGCCCAGGAGAAGGGGACTGGCCTGCCCCATGTTATAGGAAGGGTTCTGCAGGCCCCTCTGACCCACAAGAGGCTCAACAGCAAGCAAGGGAAAAATATATTTATCATCACTTCTATTGGTCAGGATCTATTTCCTGCAGGACTTTGAATCAGAAAACTCCAGTCACGTCTATGCGTACACACATGCATGTCTGTATGAATGTGCAAAAACAACTGACCCCAAAGGTCAAAGAGGACTGCCACTCCAAGATATAAAAAAGCTCTCAGCTCAACTTCAAGGAAAAGGCAAAAGAAAATTATCAGAGAGAGCAAGAAAGCAAGAGAGACAGAGATAAAGAGAAAAAACCAAGGGGAAGATGATTTTCTATCAACAAAACAGCAGGGACAAATTCTAGTTCATCTCATCGGAAACATCTCCTTCATGTGCAAACACCGCCTGGAGCCAGCACTAATCTCCCAGATTAAAGCCTTTTAATAGCAATTAGTCCTCTCTGCACTAACCCACTGGACACTCCAGTGCATATTTGGGAAAGGGGGGAGACTAGAGGGAGTGTCACCAACCGTTTAACTCATAAGTGCCCTGATGTGTCCGAATCCTTATCTTACACGCGTTTGTGCACAGGTCAGGATGCTATGGCAGTGAAACTTGTTTGGATTGCAGCAGAGAATGGGACCTCAACAGCTAGATCTGGGTGTTGCATGTATAAATACTCAGGTGAGCTGGATCAAGTCCAGATCCAGGAGGGAGAATTTCAAAATGGCACTATGGCAAGCCAGAAGCATTAGCCAGCTACAGTTAGAAGCACTGACATACCACCAGCTCCAAAGGCTATCCCAGCTGGCAACAAGACACAGCCACAGGCAACAAGATGTCCTTAGAGTTACCTTCATGCTACCAGCCTGTTGAAGCAGCCTTGGTACTGCTCTCCCTGAGACACCTTCCACCATCTCTGGAGAAAAGGAAGAGGAGAGATTTCTTAAATTGTTTTTGGTTGGTTCCTCTCTGCATGCCATCAAAGGTCTTGCGTGATCTCTTGGTGAGTGTTTACAGGAAACATGAGCTGATGCCCCATCTGGGTCTGGCAGAGGGCCTCCACCTCCTGCACAGATTGCTACACCAAGAAAGGTAGATCATACAGAAAAGAACCTCAGATTGCACACCACCCCCTATTAACAAACTGAGCAGCTTGGCTGAAATGGCTGAGAGGGGGAAGAGGAAAGTAGGGGACACTGGTGCGAAACAGTAGTGTCTGCACAGAGACCCTGAACATCCCAAATGGCAAGCCAAGCAGAATTTTTTGGAAGGAGCCACATCAGCTGCCCTTCAAGCTATTAGACCATACAAACAGGACAGAAGAAAACCTTCCATGAGGTGACAGTAGGAAGGGGAGGAAAAACTACTCTGAGCAGCTTTCACCCTCTTCCTCCCCTCCTCCCAGCATTGGGAGCTGCCAGAACCCCTGCACAACCCTGTGGTGCCCCCCAGTCTCTAACACACACACACACACACACACACACACACACATATACACACACCATCCATAGGGGTAGTGCAATTACTATTCAGGCTGGGGGCTGAAGATAGTCTCCTGGCCCTTCTTCTAATGTAAGGTTATTGTAATTGATATGAAGGTAATTGATAATGTGTTACGGTGAATAATGTCTTCAATTTTCTGCTAAATCCCATTTTTGTAGCCATCTGGGCTCCTCCAACTGCCCCCCTGGGACGCAGAGTAATAGATAGTAATTATTCTCAAGTCATTTACTTTTTCAAAGTGTTTAGTGCTTATCTGTTTTACAATTAAAATGGAAACGACCCTGATTCACTTCCTTTCTTTTTTATTTAAATAGCATTCAGACACACACACACTCTCTCCTACACGCCCTGGAGCCTGGAGGGTGTGTGCCTGTATGTGCAAGTGCATGTGTGCGTGCATATTATTGTCACAGAGAAACACGCAGGACAGAGGTATGTAGTTCCTCATGCACCTTCACTTTGAGGCACTGTGAGAGCACAATCACACAACACTAAGAAATACAAATTGTGTTCCTTTCCCCCCGCCCCCCTCCCGCTTGTCCCCATGGTGACGAGCAGAGTGAATGCCTCAAAACACCCCACAGAAACACCCCTAGGGAGGGATGCATCCAGCACACAACAATACACACCTCAGCACACCCCAGAAACACGACACTACCCCAATACTGGTAATCTGTACAAAGATAAACCTTCAAGCTTTAACAACACGGACACAGTTATACCTAGAAGAATACAGCTAATCATATAAATGCGGAGACCCATATTAATATACAGCAGTATATGCCAGAATGTACATGTAAATAAACTAATGCAAGCTATCAAAAGCACCACTAATGAAAAACATACTTTGCACAGCAGCTAAACCTATTTCAGTATATGACCCAAACCTCCCCAGTGTTAGCCCCTTTGAGTTCTGTCTCAGCTTATGGTATGCTAGGTGAGACATAAACAAACATATCTACCATGTTCATGGGGATCCACTGTGCCAGAATTCAGGATTTCTGCAACAGTTGTAGCCTAAGCCTTGGTAACCAAAGTACAGGAACATCTGCAGCTACAAACTGCCTCAGCGAAACACTAGCAAGGAGGGCTAATAGGAAAATGGTCCAGGAGCTTTCCTGGGGCCAATACTTGGGTGAGAAAATCCAACTCATTTGAAGCATGCAGAAATAAACCCCGGGGAAATGCTGCGGTTTCTGTGATGGTTTGAGGAGGAACCTTAACCAGTGACTGTGTCAGACCCAGGCAAGTGTGTGGCCCGTAGGGCTTCAGAATGAGATTCTTCAAGTAATCTTCAGATGCTCTCCCATCACCATCTCTGTCCCCAGCCTGCAGGCCACTCTTACTGCAGCAAAAATTATCTCACTGCTATCTTAAAGTTTCTGTCTTTGTCATGGAGTCCTAACACAATGTGTTCAGGCAGGTACAGACGGGTGTTGAAGCAGAAGCTGAGGAAAGTGGAGATGGTGAGGACCTTGGGACAGCCCTCCATAGGGTTTTACAGGCTCCAGGCTTCGAGCACTCATCCAGAACTCAAATATCAAACCATTTAAAGATGACTGGCCATGTTCAGTCATAATTCAGAACACGTGAGTGGCTGGCATCCAAAAAAGCCCAGACTTCTGTATCTCAATACAGACTCAAAATTTAGGCAACTATTTTGGGAAAACCTTTATGGTACTGTATTTGGATTATAAACCAGATCTTTCCAGACCAGACACAACTGCGTAACCTCGGAGCTCAAATCCTCCCTGGAGACAGGACACGAGGAACCAGGTGCTCCATCCCATTCTTTTGCTCCCCAGCTAGAGCAGTTGCAAACAGAGGCTGATGCTTCCCCCCAGCAAAATGGAGGAGAGACACTGCCCCCCAGGATGGTATCTTGCACACTATTCCCTCTCCAAAAGCCAAGATACCGAACCATTGCCAATTTCAGCAGATGGATAATTCAACCTTGTGTAATTAATTTAATTCTGTAGATATATATTTTTTCCCATCTGAACAATCAGATGACAGCTTCCACAACCAGCCCCACAACCCATATCACCACTGCCCCAGCAGATATACAGCCAAGGCTTTCCTCCATTCTCCCAGTAAATCGCTGGTGTGCTGCTGTCCTTTGCTGTCAAGGTAAGAGTGGCCCAGACCTTTGAGCAGGAAGATCCTGTTGTTCTTTTGTTTGAGTTTATAACTGTTTGGGGCTGTTTAGTTGGGTTTTTTTCCCCCTCTTCCGTCTCTTTCTGTTTCCTTTTTAATTCTTTTTAATGACTTTCCCCGATGCAATCGGCAGAGGACCACGCAGAGACTGCTTCCCCCTGCTGAGAGGGAAACAAGAGTGAGGGAAAAGGGCACCAAGGGAACTGTTCACATCCTCTATTCATCTCTGCCAGCCTCTGTTCCCTGGTGACTAGTCCCCCCACAGCCCAGCTGTGTGGAGTTAGCATGGAACGAAGCAGAACCTGAGCCAGGAAAATCTCAGCCGGCACCACGGGATTTGACTCTGTCAGCCTTGTCAAAGGCTGTCCTAGGTGTCCTAGCCATGAGAGTGGCCCATATGGTCCTACCACAAGGGCAGCAGTGTGGGCTGAGGAGGGGAAAAATGTGTTGTTTTCCATGAGTCCAGCAGAAGTCCCCCTGACAGAGAGAGTGGCTGGAGACCACAGCTCAGCTACTAGGGAACACACATGAGTGCAGCAGCTTGGGAAACCTGCTGCTGGGAAGCCAATGAGCGTGGAAGAAGCAAGCTTAAGACTCCTGCAGTACTCACAAACTCTCTAGTCCAGGCACTCCCAAGTGATGCCATCTTTTGTTCCAGCAGCTCCCCCAGCTCCAACGTGGGAATGAGCTTGGTAGAAGCCAGATGGCTCTTCCTCCGTCTGCTCCCTGGCACTTGGCTGCATATGCATCAGGGAGCAGGGTGACTATCTGGGCAGGCAGGACTGCAAGGTGGAAGCACTTTGCAAGGAAGCAAAGTTTGCTCCAGCTGGTTGCATTTGGTAAGGACCAATGCCCTCTCCCACGGGCTCCATCTCAGCCACTTGCAGGCAGCACCTCACCTTGGCAAACAGCCTCTGCCCTGCACTGCACGTGGGACAGCTCTGGAAAAGCTGCTGCTGCCATAGCAGGCTCTTCTGATTGCCAGGCTGCTGTTAACGAGCCATGTGCGTTCCAGGGTTGCAGGGAGAGGGGGAGAGCTCTGAGCTGCCAATGGCCTGGGCTGGAACACAGGAGCTGGTGGCTGGTGAAAGAATCATGTGCTTATTGTACTGCAACTCTGCAGGGGACACCTGTCCCAAACGATCCCTCCCCTAGGAGGAGCTTGTTTAATCCTTAGTTTTTCCAGCACCAAAGAGGAACTGTGATCTCTGTTGTACGGTATAACAGTTGTTTGATAATCAGTTGTCTTCCAACCAGGAAATTTCAAAGCATTTTGTACCCAACAGCTTGCTAGCATTGCTTTCTGTTGGGGGAATACATAGCATGTGCTCTATGTTTTCATTGATTCTGGAGGTTTTCCATGAGGGAAAAGGAAAAATCTCAAACTACAAACTCCTTTGAAGTTCCCACTGCTCTGTCAGCTTTCAAGCAGATGAAAAGGATGCAGAAAAAGCAGTCAGAAAAAAAGGCAATGCAATGACCCAGTTACATTCCTGTTGAGACAGATACATACAGACCATCCTTGGCTGAGGTATATTCTGAAGCACCTTCAGCCAAGATTCCAGCATCTGCATGGTGATCTCTGCTGGTGCTTCTATTCTCCATGAGTTAACAAGGGCTTTTACTACATCATCTCCCTCCATTCTATGGATTCTTGTTTCTTTCTGCTTGTTAGCAGGCAGGCAGAGGAAATGGTTGTTTACCTGCTTGTTGATATCATTCACTTATACCCCGGGAAACTGAGCTTTTTACACGAATAGTCTTCTTGTCCATTTTCACATAAAACAATTTCTTAACCTTTCCTCACAGGCCCTGGTTTTCAGCCCTATGGCAGCCTTCAGCACTATATAAGACTCCACTGCACTACGCCAGAGAGCTACTGGGACCTCTCGTGTCTCAGCAGTGACCTTAGCATTGATAAAATGCAGACCCTAACATTTTCTTACTGCAAGAGTGCAACATTAGTGACTCCCACACAGTTTGAGCTCTGCCCTCCCCCCTAGACAATGCACTAGTTCCCCCATTCCTTAATCAGATGTAAACTGAGCCTTTGCTCAGTTAGGTAACCAACTGAATTACCTAAGTTTAGTTTATTTCTCCAGCATATCAAGCTATTTTGAGTTACAACCCTGTCCTCCAAAGGATTTGCAACCTTCTTCCAATTTGCTACTCTCTGCTTGGTTTTCATTTTATTATTGAAATCTCTAAAATATTGATCAGAAGTTGGTCCAGGCCAATGCCCTACAAAACCTCCTTCCTTTTCAAGGAATAATTGCATCGCAGTTTAGGGCCATGTTGTGTCCAGACACAGTAACAAGCGCAAGTGAGAACCTCTTCCAAGTTGGCGCCTGATCCAACCACACCCTGAATGAGTGCAAATGAGGTATTATAAAGGAGCAGGGGCTGGAAATCAGCTCTGAAAAATCAAAATAGAGGTTCAGCCAAGTGTGACTGATAGTTGGAAACTAGTCTTCAGCTCAAGCTGTGGTAAAAATCTAAGGAAATCCCAGGACTACAATTCCAGATGAAACACTTGTTGACAGTCATTCTCTTTCTGACCTAATGGGCTGGAAGAGAGGAACAGAGAGAATCTGAAACCCTCAGCAGATTGTTTCCAGGTCTTGCTTTTCTCTTGCAATACACAGTATATGTGGATGCCAAGCAGCAGCAGGGGAGAATCAGAGGGTTTAGATGATGTGCTTTCCTTCTGCTCTGCTATCCTACAGCAAGTCATCCTGGTGAAGAAAATCAAGAATTAAAAGATCTGATAAAGGAAGACAAAATAGAAAAGGAATATAGAAAAAACTGAAACTTCTTGAAATATTCTTAAGTGAAAGTGTTTCCAACACAAGAATAAGACAGTGGCTTTATCAGAAGCTTTCTTCAAAATATCTTAGTTAAGAAAACACATTTTTCATTTTTAAAAGTACTGGAAAGTTTGGAGGAATCCTCCATAAAAGCGATTCAGGAACTTATAGATGTACAGCAAGGAACTATCTTGAAAAAAAAATTGAAGTGTGAAAGCCTCTCTGCAACGATACTTAAACCATTGGGTTGAAATAGCAGCATCACAACAAAGCATAGAAGGGTATTTACAAGTGACTCCTTTTTCTGCTCACTGCAATATATTTATCAGTCAGTCTTCCCCTTCATATGTGATGCAATCTCCAGGTCTCCTGCAGGAGTTTCGGAGTTGTGGACTGACAGACTGTTCTAGGTGCAAAGCCAAAACAATTACCTCCAGGTAGACACTGCACAAACTCAGAGTTGCACAACCCCATGGGCCTGTCCAAAGGGAACAGAGACAATGGCAGTACAAATGCTCCTTGAACAAAGCAGCAGGGAGATTTGGCAGATACCCAGGCAGTGATATGCTGATTGTTAGCCAGAGCATCCAGGAGCCTAGCAGCTCTGGTCTGTGCAGTACAGCAAGAACCACTCACAGCCACAGGGGAATTTTTTGAGGCTCTTAATCATCGCTGTTGCTCTCAGTGCCCACGAGCAGAAAATAACACCAAAACTTAAATGTTCTCAACACCGCACCATGGGACAGCCCCAAACAGGACTGCTGCAGATTGCTACACAGCAAACTGCCAGTTCCAGACACTCCAGGCCCATCCTAAGCAAAATCATCCCACACCTTTGCTCTCCTTTACATTGGGGAACTCCTCTAGTGAGCAACTCCTAGTTTCAGTATGTCACAGACCACAAGGCAAAACCAAGGTCAAGCCTAGAAGTCAGTGCACACACTGGCATCTGGATTAACAAGACCCATAGTGGGTACAACAGTGCCTGATCCGCTGATAGCCATTCCTCCAACATTACACAGTCAGAGGCTGAGGGCCCATGGACAAGCTTAATGTCATTCCACCCAGGACATCCCCTTCCCATGTTCCTTGACATATACGTCTTCTAGTAAGGTACCTTCGTGATGGAGGGATGGCAAATAGCATGAATACAAACAGTCTCTATTGTCACTTGTTAAGACCAATGAATTCCTCAGAGCTCTGTCCAGCCCTGAAGTCTGATTCAAGCTCTCTCCTTCGTGAGCCTAATGAAGCCCATATTAATCCTGAGAGCACGTCCCAGCATGCAGATAAAGGCCGCACCTTCAGCCCAGCGTCACTCGGTGGAACAGGGCAGGAGTTGGGGCACTGCACTGAGGTCACCTGAGGTTAGGCAGGAACTGAGACAGACCAGGCCCCCTGACCCTGCCAAAGTCTGCACATGTCTCTGCTCTCCTTCTCCAAGCAAGACAGCAGCCCAGAGGTCAAGGTGCTCTCTCTCAATCCCTTTTCCCCTGATCTCCATCCTCCTCCCACCCTGCATGACATCCAACACACCAGCCCTGCAAAAGCCAGTTGCAGCAGCCGGTGGATATCTCTGCTATCCCGCTGCCCTCCCAGGCTCTCCTGCTGCCTGCAGACAGGAAAGCCCACTCCAGCCTGCCCGGGGTGGGCGAGCAGGCTGAGGCAGGTCATGTATCACCCGGGGCGGGGGCCGAGGCGCGTCCCCTCAAGATGACTTCAGTTGCATTCCAGTGAGCCTGGCAACCTCCCGCACACACAAATAAAAGGAAATGAGAAACTTGGCAACAAAGAAACTGGCAGGGAAGCCACAGAGGCACAGAGGAACGGGAAAAGAGATTAAACACAGGCTCAAGAGCCCCAGCGTGCTGAGCCTTCCTCTCTAAAGCCTCCCTTTAACTTCGATGGGGGGGCACAGGAGTCTTCTTTGCACTTGAAAGGGCAAGAGGAGGGGCTGGATAAAAGGGATCCAGCATTATCCGGAATTGAGAGCACAAGAACACGCTACAAAGCTTTAAAAAAAGTGCAAGCACCCAGTTTCTTTATATACTTTCCTTGGTGGAAATCAGGAATTGGGATCTGAATCTGGCCAGAGAAGAGATCAAAGTGGAGACATTACAGGAGGAAGTTTAATAATGCAAAGTAGTCTGATGAATTCTCTTCCCAAGTTCCAGCTTTTTTTTTTTTTTTAGAAATAGGATAACGTATTTGAGGCCCTGCAGTTTATAATGGCAGACACTAATTTGTATTGATACTATATGCTATCTAAGAGTCCATCCCAATATATTAGACCACTGGCGTTTCTGTGTGTTAGGATAACTCATAAATGTGCTATGGTGCTTAGAATTTTTGGCAGTGTAACTATTTAAATCAATCCACTGCAATACTGAGACAGAATTTACCTGCAGTGTATACTGCAGAATCTACAGTATACTCTAAGGTCTGTGTTAAGATCCATTCAGAAGCCCATGCTTTGTACATCACAAGCTGTGTGATTTCCTGTACAGAGTATGTATGTTGTGGAGCTGACTGATCATAGATGTAATATCTACTTTGCTCTTTATGTATCATTAAACATCAGGCACTCAGCCTGATCAGGGGAAGAAGACAACCCTTTCTTATCAAGGGGAGAGATTGTTTCAGAAACTAAATGGGAAACACCCACAAAGCCCGTTCTCTCTGGATGACAAAGGACACGCTCTCTATGCAGTCGTGGCAGTGCAAGGCAATAGGCAAAGTATTTGCACCAAGCCTGAGAAGAGCCCAAAGCAATTGTTCTTCCAGAGCTAAACTCTGATTCCTTGGATGAGCTAGTGTCCTCTTCTGAAACACACAGGGATGTTAAAGATTATTAGTAGAGAATCAACTCACTCCTTCCAGACACACACATATCACACAATTGGAAGATGATCTTTCTTCTTATTCCTTAAAGAATCATAGCAGGTAGCAAACAAAATGTCAGGGGGATCCATGGGACTCAAAAGACCTGAATGATCGGACTGTATAAACTACCTGTGAGAGCATAGGCCTGTGTCACAGGACTGTGGGAGCTACCTTGGAGAATCTTCTCCCAAATACACATCATCACATGAGCACTGTCTCCCACTGATACAAAGGTATCTCAGTGCCACAGCAGTCTAGTATCACAGATATCTGACTGAGCATCCACATATCATGAACCACCTTAGTACATGGACTGGGACAGCAGCGAAGAAATGGATTAGGATTGGGACAGTAAGCTCCACTGAGACTTGAATGCAGCAGATCTAGTGGATATATCCTCTGTAATCTGGCTCTGCAAATCAGAACCAGTGCCAAAAAGTGGGATCCCAGTCTACAGGGAAAAAAACCACAACCTGGCATACTTACTTGGTGATACAGTGAACCATGGTGACTACAAAATTTTAAGTGCCTGGCCATTCTGCACAAAGGAATATAAGGCTGGTCAAATTTTCATGTGTCCTCTTCAAAAGGGGGATAACAGGTTTCTGTTCACACTCCATATAACAATTGGTTCATACAGCATGTCAGAGGTGCCACTCTCTCCAAGGTTCTGAGGTCTATACCCAAGCTTCTTTTGCTGAAAAGGAAAAAAGAACAGAGAAGCAATTTTTTCTGTGGGGTCTGCAGCATTCAACATCAGATGAGAAATTTTCCTTCATGAGTTCATTCACGAGAAGACCTGTGATCCTTTTGGTTCCTTTAAATCTCTAAACTCAGATGGAGAGAGGATTTCCAAGTCAAAGGGCTGGGTTCCTGGCTATATAAACACAGTGGTTCCCAAGAGAACCTTAGGCTGAATCAATGGACAAGGAAAATTTTCCAAAATAGCTGTAAATTGAAAAGTTCAAACAAGGGGACAGTGTTTTCAAGACAGTATGAAGCAATCAGAATAAAGCTGGGATACTTCTTTCTATTTCTACTACTGTATCTTGGTGAGCATCTAACCTACTCTGGACCTGGACTTCCCCATTTGCAGAATGGAAAATGATTCCCCATGCTTTAGGTCTGGTTCCTAAGCCTGTTTTTCCCAGATCCCCATGGGAACTTTCATCCACAGCAAGTGGATGCAAGTGACTTTCCATATTCACACCATCTTCCACCAGGGCTCACGTGCAGGGCTGAGTCCACCTTCGTGTGGTCCCACCCTCCCATACCTATGCTTACCTGTTTTCAGGAAAGCTGAGCAAAGGGGTGGGAGCATGGGACAGAAAAGAAGAGGAGCTGGGCCTTACCTCCAGCTTAGACCTTCTGCAGTGTATAGGAGCAGAGTTCAAAAATGCTCAGTTTTCCTTTCTATGAAGCAGATGAGCTATATTCTTAATCTCCTTTTGCCCAGGGGTAATGCTTCCTCTCCCACTGCTCCAGATGGGTTGAAAACTGAGAACACCGTGTTCACGGCTTCTGGCCCACTGCATATCTTACTCAATCTGCAAAAATACCAACCTAAAACTGAGCTCCCTGGCTTGGAAAAATGAGACTATTGGAGCTGCCCTGGCAAAGGCTGCATGGTAGTTCTGTGGCATCACATCTCTGTCCTCATAGGATGTGGGCTGCAAGCTGACTCCGCTTAGAGAGAACATTAACTACACCTCTTTATTATTGAGAAGAAATTTATTGGAGACATCCCTCCCTCTCTCCAGCTTCTCCTTTACCTTCGCAGAAAAGTAAACATTTAATTTTTTTTGTTGTTAATAGATTTAATGTTCATTTGTCGGTAGCCTAGGGGCAGGAACGCATGACATTTCAAATAATTGTTGTTTCGGGGGTATCCTCTGGAGGAAAATGCTGCAAAAGTGTGGAGAAGATTTAAGTAAATTACTGTGTCAGCTTCTATTTATTCCTTACATGATTGCCAGAGGCAGGGCTGCGAGATAACCATTAGAGGCCCAGCCATAAAACAGGGAAGCAGAATTTCAAAAAGCCGGAGTGCCATTACTGGAAAGTTAGTGTGTAACATGTTAAATTATCCCCAAAGTAGGGGGAGGCAGGAGGGGGAAGCCACGTGTCTAAGAGTGAGAGAAAAGAAAAGAAAAAGAAAGGAAGAAGGACTGTGGAAGTGAAGGGAAGTAGTTACTCCATGAGGAAGGCGAGATAGATAGATAGATAGATAGATAGATAGATAGATAGATAGATAGA